CAAAATGTGAATATACATACAAGTAAGGTTTTTTCCATACTTCCTGACAGTAAAAATACAGTTTCTTTCTTCTCTAAAGGAACCTGATAGCTTAACCTTCAATAAATATTCAAAGATATTGTTTTATAACTCAAATATTTTTGTTTTGTTTCATTTCTATCAGAGCTTTGTGGCACACACACATACTAGTGGCACATTTACTATATGCTTAGATAAGTACATTAACCTGTTAAATATTATTATTCTCTACTCCCCACTAAAAACAACTGAGGTGAAAACATTAAATCACAACTTCAAATGAATCCTTTAATGTCTATGGAAAAGCGTTTACTATTTTTCTCCTGGGGTTTTACAATGTATGCCTCTTAGACATGTTGTTGTGTGTGTCACTAACACATGCCTTCCAAAAATGAACTAAAGTTCAACTCATGTTCTACAAATATTTTAGTCACTTGGATCACATTTAGCACCTGCCATTCTACAGAACTGATGAAACACATAATTGATTCAGATGGTCAAAATTACTTGTGGCTGACATGAAAATACAGAAATCATAGGCATAGGGCTGGGGTTTTGTTTCAGTGGTAGAGCACTTGCCTAGCATGTGTGAGGCACTGGGTTTGATTCTCAACACTGCACATAAATAAATGAATAAAATAAAGGTCCATTGCCGCGACCCCTCGCCAGCAAGGAGGACACGACACAGGATTCTTCTTTCAGCAGTTTATTCAGGCCTTTAATTATGTGTCTCTGGAAGCTTCTCCTACTACTACTATTACTACTACTACTACTGCTACTGCTGCTGCTACCACTTCTACTTCTACCCCTTCACCCGAGCGCCCCAGCCTTGATAAAGCACATCAAGCCCCAATGCACAACTGCCACCTGGACCTTTCTCATAGGGTGTTTTACAGCTACGTGCCAACTCTCCCAAAACAAGGAGTTGTTTATCACAGGCCACGGCGCTTATCAGCGCCATCTTGTAATGGCGGCCACAGTTCACAGAAACGGCTCACCACAGTCCATCAACGTCTAAATTTTTGTTAATTACGGGCATAAAAATGAGATTACTTCTTTATGACAAACAATTTGGTCAGTTGAAGCATACATCTCTGAAATAAACTGGGCAACGTTTGGTTTAAAAAAGAATGTCCTCTGAATATCTTAAACAGACTCAAGAAAAATAATTGTGAAAACAAACTTGAACTAATCTATTGGACAGAAGCCATGTCTCATTTTAGTTGTATCCTTAACATCTAAATGAGTGCCAAGAATACAGGAGGCAGAAAAACGTCTATCAAATGAGTGAAGGAAAATCACATTTAATTAAATAAATTTTGACTAGTATTTATTTAGATTAACTCATCATTATTTTGGGACATGATAGAAAAGCTTTATAAAAGTCACAAAAGAAAAACAGGCCCATATTTAATGGTTTTAGTCTTTAGATTCTACCAAGGGTGATGACAGACACAAACCTACTTTACATTGATATTACAGTCATCATTAACTATCTGAAATCACACAAATCTTCCTCGTTAAATATATTAAGACATTTCACCTTCATTGCTTTTTTTTTAATTCCTTCTCAAGTCTCTTTTGTGTGTAGGTAATCAATGTATGTGTTTATGAAGATCATGTATACCTAATGTCTGTATGAGATAATCTTTAGGAGATATTTATGAATCACAAACAAGAATTTGGCAATTGTGTGATAAACCATAGCCTTACTTTAGAAATGAATTTTCATATTTGGTAGATCTTCCTGATGTACAATCCTCAAATAGCTACCCTTCATAAAACCACCCCTTTTGCCTGTTCATCTCCTTTTGGTTTGTCCAGAATGCATGCACACTCATAAATGTATTCACCTTGTGTCTTTTCGGGGAGTTCTGATGTTTTATTTATAAAAGTACAAACATATAGAGATATTTGGATTTTATATCTCCTTCATCTAAAAACATTTCTCAGAGTTCAATTATGTGCTAGCAGACATTGTAACTACAAAGAGAAAAATTCAGGGGGGAGAGGCAGGCATGGGTGTGTGTGTGTGTGTGTGTGTTGTGTATTTCTAATTGAAATATAAATGTTTTTAACATAAAAACTTTCAAAATACTATTGGCCATGGATGAAATAAATACATGCCTGGAGACATCAGGTAGGGCTTCACAGAAGATATGAACTGAGTCTTGAATAAATTGATCTATGGCATGGGATTATTCCAAGGCACTAAATTGTGAATATTTCCAAATGTCTGGATTACAAAGTCAATAGAGGGACGGTAGTGGAGGATGCTAAAAGTGTGGGGAGAAGAACAGTCACAGAGTATCTTATCTGTCCTGCTAAAGAGTTGGGCTGATATCCTATAAAGAAAAGGGTACTTAAGAATTTTTAGCAAAGAAATGAAAAAGCAAATTCAAGTCTTCTACTCTGGTGGGAGAGAGTAAAATAGGAAAACTGGTTGTTGTAAAGCACAGGAAAGAAAAATGATAAGGCTTGTATTGATGAAGGCCTAAAATAAGGCAACAGAATTATCACTTTACTACAACTAATTAGCAACAGAATAGAATGCCAATTCAGCTTTTGAGATGGTCAAAATGAAATATTCAATTGCCAAAATAATGAAAAAATATGATATATAAAATGCTTTTACTTGCCCAATCCAAAACCAAGATTAAATTATGCATTTGTTTTGTTCCATATTTTAGTTTATGAGTTTCTTGGTAGAAGAACATATCTACAAAATGTTGTCATAAAAACTGTGTCATCTTTCAATGCTTTTCAAGTAAAAGGAAGAAAGGAAACAAAAGAACTATTTAAGTTCATAGCTTCCATTCTCATCATTATTTCTATTAAAACACTGCTACACAACTGAAATCTGCAAACAGGGCAGGTTCTAATTAAAATGAATTAGAATTAATTTCAATTATACTAAGGTCATCTGTATATCAGGTCATTGAAGTAAAGCAAATTCCAGGGAAATAATTTTTTCCAGTCAACAAATCATTCTGGAATAATCATTTAGAGATCTGTTTTCATGAAAATTAAGTTGTATCATTAAGACAGATCAAAATATCATGTCGACAAATTCCAATTAGGTCTTTTCTTTTATGTCATACAGCATATAGCCTCTTATAATTCCACATTTCTAGGGGAGGGGATTGCTACAGGAGCTTCAAGTTACCATATTGTGCTATAATAAACACTGTGCTATAATAAACATTGTGCTACAATAAATATAATAATATACCAGATTTAGCAAAGAAAGCTTCACGTTAAGAATCAGACAGTGACTGAATTCAAATGTCATGCAAAAATAAAGTCAGCATTCACTTATCCTTATATAATTACTTTAACCAAGTTATTTGAATTTTTCATTTATTTTCCTTAATTGTGCCCAGATTTCAATTATGGCAACAATTAAGACGACCTCTGGCTTAGTTTCTCTATGGGAAGTTTAGGAGGTGTGCTGCATGAGAGAATACTATTCCACAGTCTGAAAATGCACTTAGTGACCTGTGCTATAGATCAAAGGCACCCTTCAGAATGGGCTTACCCTTGAGGAAGTAACATCACAGGGAAAAACCTAGGTAAAGAGACATATTTCATTTTTTTAAACAACTAGTTTAAAGATAATTTTCTCCTTAGAGAATTAAAGATAGGAAGACCTTAATTTTAAAAAGAAATATATATTTACCTCTATAAAATAGTTGTTTGGGGAAAGTATAGAAAAAATGAAATTACTCAAAATTTTTAAAGATTTTAGAAGTGAGTTGTTAGCTTATCCTAAAATGAATATGACCCTGTAGCATACAGATGAAAATGCCTATAACCCACAGATGGTACTAATTTAACTTCATTTTCCCTTAAATTTTTTGCAGTACTGGGGACAGAATCCAGGACTCAAGTATGCCAGGTAAGTGCTCTACTACTGAGCTATGTGCCAGCCCTTTGCTTTCACGTTTAAAAGACACACCAAATGGTATAAATTTGACTTTTAATTTTCATGCTATATGTCTCTCTTTAGATATAAATAATAGTAGAAAAGAAATGACAAATTTAAGTATGATTCACACTTAACATGGTTCCTTTTATAGCAGAAAAATTAACCAAGTACTTATAATTGGCAATATCATGTGGCATTTCTAATTGGGAAAACAGAGGCACCAAAACATATAGCTTATAGAAAAGGTCATGATGAGCCACTGCCGAAGTCAGTTGTGGAATCAGGTAAACTGACAATATTCCCATCTCTAGAATTATAGAATGTAGATCTTTACAAAGATTATAACTTTTAATGATTTTTTGCTCTTTTAAATGAAAAGTCATTGCTAACAAATTTTAGGGCTTAACAACTGTATGAAAATCTCTGGTCTGCATGGTGTAGGTCTGATTCACATTTACCCAGTGTTCTTTTATTAGGAAACAGCTAAGCCCTTTGGACTAGTTTCTCTGAGACTCTCACTAAGTGGAAAAAGCACAGACATCTGTCCCATGGAATAAACACTTGTGTGGACTATATCAAATGTCTTGAACAATTAGTCATCCTAACTACTTCCTTAAAAGTTCTAAATTTCACCAGTAAAATGGGATCCCTGAATTCACTAGCTATTTTGATAAAATCTAGATATAGTCTCTGATATCGTCAATGTGCCATTTTTTTGTTTTGTGGTATTATGCCCACCATACCATATATCTTGCATGTGCTTTGTATTTCTATAAGCTGAAAAATAACTATATTCAAACTATTCCCAAATCTTTGTCAAACTATCAGCAGTTTCCCATCTCTTAAAATGCCTATATAATGTTTCTCACATATTTTCACTTTCCTACTTTTGATAATTGCTTGTGCAACTGTAAAATTAATATAAAACCCTGTCTTTAAAAATGATAATAAACTAATTCCTTAATCTTCTAATATAAATTCTTAAATATATCACAATTCATCTACCTTGCCCACTGTAAAATAGAATGAAACAGTGGAATTTAGGGGTTATTCAAGTGATTTCTTTGGCATACCACACGGCTTCACACCGATTTTTTTTTTTTCCTTTTCCCCTTGTTTTTACTTCCTTGAAAACAGGTGATTTTATTCTGTGGGGTTGAGTTGTGCTATTGTGTTTTAAAAGTTGGATTTTTAAACAATGTAATTGAGAACAGGTTTAAATAGAAATGATTCAAAACTCAATTAAAATTTCATTTATATATTTGACAGAAACAAATAACCATTATCCATGGTTACTATTTGTAAAATAGCTCATAGTCCAATGCAAAAATGTTAAAAAATATATACCAAGACCTGACTGCTAGAGGTATGTGATACTTTGGGGAATTCAAATTCTCAATGTTCATTTAAATGTTGTATTGGCAGTATAATCTCTTATAACAAATACTGAAAATTCATCACAGGAAAAAAGTTATGAAGACGTGTTATATATTGGTAAACTGTAGCATAATGAATCCCTTGGCTCTATTAAATTCTTAACATTGGTCATTTCCTTTGGCTTTATGCCCTTTGATACTTATTTTAGACATGAAAATCATTTTTTAAAAGTCCCTACTGTTCAATTATCTATTATGATGAAGAATATCAGTTTTTACAAGAAAAAAATTGGGCATCTGTTTGACAGAAATGAGTACTTCAAGTATATAAGTAAATCATTAACAGAGCTATTACACTCTAGGCAACAGCAGTAAAAAGGAAAAGAGCTAGAATATGCATTTTGTATAAAGATTACATTTCACAATATAATAAATAAATGAACTGACTTATACAACTTGTGAAAACCTTCCAATGGTTATAAGTAATACTGCCTATGATTGACGTTGCTGTTGTCAGCATTGTCTCGCATACAACAATTCAAAGGTAAAATTTTTGTCCTTAAAGCCACAAAATATACAGAGCTTTTGTTTGTTATTAAATATCTTGTTTGCCAAAAGTCCTGCAAACTAAAATACACCCTGGCAATTTGAATAACCAGAGCGATAATTATTTTGATATAAAAGGGTAAGAAACATTTTAGTATGAAAATTAATAACACCAGTAAAAGGAGGAACCTGTTGTATAAATAGACGTGTTAACCAAAAGTAAGACTTTAACCTTGCATAAGAGAAAGAAAAAGTTTAATACAACTTATTAAAGATTTGAAAATAATTACCATATTTTCCCAGCTCTAGATAAATATATTACTCCAATTAACTAGTCATCTTCAATATACAATATATAACTCACAAAACTGGGAATGTTACAATACCAAAACCTTTCACAGCACTAGTTACCAGTTACCAGAACTGCAAGCAATCTTTAGCTACATATTAGTTTAATACTTAGAGTATAGAAATAGATATGGCTAAGTTGTGTAAAACAATAGTGCAATCAAACATTAAGGGCCCCAAGATATAGTCTTTTTCCCTGTTAGCTTGTATATCTAACTGCATTATCCTACTTTAATAGCATTATCAACTGAGTATAAAACCCCTTTATTTTAATGAATTTTAAAAGTAACTGTCCTGTTAGATTTGGTTAATTTACTCTTGAAATGCAGTTACTCTGAAATACCCAGACTATAAATTCCTAAACAGTGAATAACTTGTTGCTAAAATGAAATATTTTATGTGTAGCTTTAAAAAGTCTTAAGTAGTGGTTTTGTTTTTATTTTTCCAACTAAAACTTGGAAGTGCATAAGAAATTAGGAGAGTATATAAATAATGTAAATAGAATACTTAGTTACATAAAGGGAATTGTTAACTTACATACTATAATATGGAGTTTATCTTAAACATTGTTACTGAGTTAATGCAGTCCCAGTTATTGTTAAACTTCTTTTCCTGAAATTGACAGAATTATACAAATAGGTACAGTCCAGCTGTCTTTAATCTCTCTTCTCTATAATGATAAACCTCTGTACTTCTTTTCTTCTGATATAAATATCTCTGAACAAAACTTGGAAAAATGAGAAAACAGTAATAAAGATAATAAAATTTAGGCTTTGCTTATTGTAGAAGCCAATAATCATCACCTTTTTAAAGATTTGGTTGCTTCCTTAGGGAGGCACCCTATTACTGATATGACATGGAGACTGTTATACAAAGTCAGTCATGGGATGTCTCCTTGGCAACAGTCAAGACCTAGGCCTCATGGCACTTGGAGTGGAGCAGTGAGAGGAGTGTGGCAGCCAAGTTGTAGGAGCCACCAGGGAGGGTGAATCCAGTAGCTAATGGTTCCTACTGGAGGAATTTCTACTTCTCACTTTCTTCTTTCTGTCCTGGGGGAGAACTTGATGTTTTAAAACTGCCACTTGTATTATCCAACTCTAAATTCATTTGTCTATCCAACTTCCATCTGAAAAAATGTAAAATTAGTTCATTGAGGTGGGGATGGTGGGAAGGATCCATGGCATCAAGGTGAAAGATGTATCGTTCTCATGGTTTAATTAAAAGACTCAAAACCTAACAATGTGAAAGTTAACTATGGCGTTAGCCCAGCTGAATATAGTAGACTATTTACTTTAGAAGTATTGTATGGAGGGAGCTCCTATAATTGCTAAGTCATAACTTGTATTCCTGTCAAAAATAACCCATAGAGTCTAAAATAGTGCCATCATTATTTATAAAAAATTAGTTAAGAATCTCTAGGCAGTAGATGTATTTTGACATATTATTATACATTCTGTCATGTATATCTAAAAAAAAAACAAATAAAAAATAAAAAAGTAATGACCGAAGACACACACACAAAAAGAATCTCTAGGCAGTTATGTTTTGTTAAATTTTATGTGAATTATTAAGTGAAGGATTCCTGACAATAAGTCATTGGGAAAGATTTTATTTTAGAATTAAATAATTTGCATTTAGGGGCCAAAAATGTATTATTTTCAGGCACCATTTTAAGAAATTATTAGCCATGTGAAAATCAAGATAAGTTAGTGTAAGAAACACAGATCCAAATCTAGCAAGACACGCCTACTTTGAGGGAATAAATGACACATTTGTTTTACTTGTAATCATTTTGATCCTTTTTTTTTTTGCATGCCTAATGATTCATTTAATGTGTGTGCTATGTGTCTTCAAGCATGTACTATGGCAACAGGGTAATCTAATGATAAGAGAAAATGAAAATGTACAAGTTGAAGGACAATGATCAGTAATCTTTACTTATCTCAGTACATAGTCTTCTGAAATGTCCCTTGTGACTTGTCATGAATAAACAAACACGCCACAGGGGCAAGAAACTAAGCAGATGGATTGCTACTGGCTTACAGTACAGTGAGGGACTGGAGAAAGTTCAGCTGTGCTGCTTAACCAATCTCCTATGCTCCACCTTAGTTACCCAAATAAACCCATTAGGTAGGGAGACCCCATCTAGAACAGGGTTAAGAATAAGGATTGAGAAGAAAACTCTCCTATGGTGATGAGAGAAAAGAGAACATTTTACACAGGGCAACTGACTGGCAAAGGATGGCGGGAAGGCAGTGAGACTTTGAGCAGCCATTACTATGTTAGGCATGGGAAAACGCAAAGCCAGAAAGTAGGAAAGAAACTGAGAAAGGGAGGTGGAGAGACAATGAATGGGGAATACTGAGAAGTCTGGAATTTTACTTAGGACTGACCCTGTCCCTTTCCTTTTTGAAAAGCAATTTTCCTCGTCAGGGAAAGTAGATTTGGGCTGTGATTCTCCCACCTACGCCCTAATTATCCAGGCGTGGGAGAACCTATGAGGAGGAGCAGTGACAGCTACAGCTGCAATCAGTGCACGGGTGAGCTTCTCAACGTAAGCGTGTGCATGGATCTAAGCAGAGAAGCCATCTGCACTCCTCAGGCTGTGATCCCAGGCTGTGATCCCATGCCAGGGAGAAGCAATTCCCACTTGATGGTTTTTAAACCCCAACTAGGATAAGAAGATGGTTTCTCTGTGATGCTGACAGGAGGCTCTGACGGTGCCATGCTGGTGACAGGTGTCAGTGAAGTCATCTGAGTCCTGCACAGACATATGCAGACAAGCAGACCGACCTTACAGGGAAAATAGCTATCATTTAACAACAAAAAAATTAAAAAATCCAAATTGTCATTCTAAAAGATTTCCCTCATCCAAGAGCCATTTGCAGGAAAATTCTAGTTAAAGATTCTAGTAACTGAGATTTTAAAGAAATTAAAAGATGTTACCTAAGCAAAATGGTCAAACAACAAGAAAAATTTCAATCCTTTACATCATACTCAAATTCAGAACATGTAATAGCTTATAAATCTTTTCTATTAGCAAAGAGGTATTCATTTTTTTTGAGAGGGAATCAATAAAGATTTTTATATTTTATATTAGCACTGTCTTAATACTAGAGTTCCTCTCACCCCTCCTTTCTTGAGACCTGGACCAGGATCAGGGTCTCAAGAGAGTTCTGAGATCTGGCACCTGGTATTTTAGTTTCAAAGGGAGGAAGCACGTGGAGCAGAGACAACATATAGGGTGGGGACTACAAAGAAGACTGGAAAAGGAGACCCCCGGCTTCACAGGAGTGGATAAAATTAAAATTTAACCACCCCTTTAAACTACTTGACACAAATTCCCTTTGGAAAATTTCCATTTGTCCACAACTTAGGTAAAAAGTCAGACATGGAACCCATTGGGTTTATTTATTTGCAGTGATGGGGATTGAGCCTGCAGCCTGACACATGCTAGGCAAGTAAGTGCTCTACCACTGAGTTATGTTCCCAGCCCTCCCATTTTTTTTTTTATTTCTAAGATATCCAAATTTTGTGACTTTACTACCAGTTAAATACCCAAGTTATAAATAAGAACAAACTATCACATAATTAAGTTCCTTTGAGGTAAATATATATGTCTGTCAATAGTTCACTTTAAATATTCCTCGATTACTATTTCTCTTAAAACACTGGGGAATATTGTCTAGAAAATATCAATGATACTATGTCTCAATATAATATGTATATGTGTGTAGGTGTATATACACAAATATGTGTATATGTACACTAGTGTGCACGTATAGCTATTGAGCACCTCCCAGGTTACTTTATGAAAACTGTCACACTGGGTCAGTACCCTGTTTATTTTTCTTACATAGAACATTAAAAATAGTATAATTAATTTCTTGGCATTATAATGGCTAAAGAAAGTTTATTTAAGAATATTTTTGTGGCTTCTTGATATGTATGCCTTTGGCTTTCAAATATTTGATAACTGTAATGTTGACTTCTAATGAGCAACTCTAATGTATAGTGGTTTAGAAAAAGGGAAAGAAAATCAACCTGATAGGTTAGAAGAATTATGTGAAATAATAATAATAATTATTATTAATAATAAGAAGAAAGCCCTTAAGAATTTAAATTTTTTCTGTTGGGAAGTTCATGTCAGAAGTCACTGTAACTAGTGGGTGAGTCTGGGTGACCAATCAGTATAAAAATTTCAGTTGAGACCTTGCAGAATTCCTAGATGTCAACAGTCTGTTATAAATTCAAACAAAATATTAGATGATTATTAAAATGAAATGAAAAAACAGGAACAAAATGTGGAAATTTTGCTTTGGAAAGTTGTAATAAGTTCTGTTAGATAACAGCATGTAAGTTTATAAAAATATCCAGACAATTTTCTGAATGTGCATACCTATGGTTTATGTATGATAAGTTAAAATAAAATTGGCTTGCATAAGATGTATATCATTTGTTGATTATGGCACAGACACATGTTCACAAAATCTTAGGTATAGAATATTTATATAAAATTCCACGTTATAGAACAGAAAAGTTCAGTCCCTTAACCAACAAAAAGGTACTTGGGTAGTCATAAATCAAATTCCACTAAAACTGAGATTAAGGCTACCAAAGTGTTACAATATGACATGCAAGAAAAAGAAAGACAATTCAGGCAGGAACTCCGTGCATTAAGATCTGCATTATTTGTAGTATTTGATAGGTTGGTTTAACCATATTCTTTGACCAGTGAATGCTTTGAACCTATGGTAATACCAATCTAACATTCAAAACACAACTTAATGTATATCTTCGTCTCCTAACCAATGATTTGAAGAAAGAAGCCAATTCCTCCAACAATGAAACCCAAGAAGTTTTAGTCACACACCTTTATGATTGCACAGTAAGAACCCTCTATCAGACCAGATCTAAGGAAAGTAAGTAAGTAGCAATTCCACTTTTAGACAATGCAGTTATCTCGGATGCCTCCTACTTTTTTCCAACTATGAGCATATTTGAACATATCAGGTTTGCACAATAAGAAAATGGCTTTATGGAATGTATTTTTGGCACAAAAATATTTTCTAAAACCTCAAATCAAAAATTTCACCCATAATAAAATATCAAGCCACAGAGGTGCTTCAGTGGTGCTTACTTATCTATGCAGAAAACTACAAGAACAGCCAATTGCTTCCAAGAACTTTGTATTGAGTAGCAATTACTTCTCTTCCAAGGAATAGCACCAATATTACACCTCAGACTGGGAAGTGCTCCTTCCAAGCTCTTTAATTCCCTGCAGAATTCGCTTCACATGGCCCACTTTCGGTATCCCCAGGTCCTAAAAAAAAAAAAAAAAAGAAAAGAAAAGAAAAGAAAGGAAAGGAAAAAGGTAAAAAGAAAGAACCAAGAAAGGAAGAAAGAAAAGAAGATAGAGTTTATTGATAAAACTGTGGATAAAATTTTTAACCAGCAAGTAACATAATTAGCATTCAGTTCATCTATGTCAGTTTATATTCAATGATATAGAAAGTGATAGTTAGAAAAATAAGTTAATGAAACAAAAATAACAATGAAAAATGATCAATCAGTAAAAAAAAAATCACATCCCATACAAACTCCTCTGATTTGCATACAAATTATATACAAGGGGGCAGTTCTTTAAGTGTCAAATGAACATAGTTTTTCTTTCTCCCCTGCCTCCCAAACCTCTGTTTTTAAGACAGGCCCTTTGGGATCTCTGGGGCGAATGAGGTAGGACACCAGGGCATCCACAATTAGTTCTAAGACAACTACACATTTCTTGTGCAACTTTTTTTTTTTTTTTTGAGCTGGGGTCTTGCTGCTATCTTGCCCAAGCTGATCTTAAACTCCCAAGTTCAAGCCACCCTCCTACCTCAGTCTCCCAAGTACTACAGATGTGCACCACCATACCCAGCTCTTTCCAGTGAGGCCTAATCCTAGAAGAAGACAATAGTACCTGCTACCTATTTGGAATGCAATTGCAGTTGCATCGAGAGTCTTTGATTTGCATAGAATATCTAATTTAAATATTCTTTATTTTTTGTAATGTATATATGTGTAAAAATTACTTAGATACAAGTATCTGCTGGTTGATACTTTCCCTCAAAATACTAATAGTTTTGTATCTTGGAATTATTATTCTCCTTTCTTAAAGGACTGCCTTTCTATAAGTGCCAAGAATTGAATATTCATCTTTCAAGAATGAAGATGACTGATGGGTGTGTAGTAGGCACATTGCAAATGCTTATTGCAGGAGAAACATCCAACTAAAATAATATCTAGGATCCACAAAACTACAAGAGTTAAGGCCTCTAAACCCTACAGTTTCTGTAAGTGTAACAAATAATTAGTTTGTTAATGTGTGAGGTCAAACAACCTCTTCACAAAATAGTGTGAGATGTCTGAAAATTAGTAAAAAGATGAGTAAATAGCAACTAAAAAACGGGATTACAAGGTACCATACATTGCTTGTCAGAAAAGGTGATTTCAAATACCCACCCTGTTCTGTAACTTAAGAGCATTATTTTAAAACGTTTAAATGGAGTAGATCAAACGTGTTTAAGTCTACACATGTACACATGCTTTCTCCCTACACTTGATGAACTTTTTGAGCTCCACTGCAGCAAAGCTACTGGTGATTCTGATCCTTCTGGAAAATATTCTTTCTAAAGGTAGTGCTATTTTTGAGCTTGAGATAATTAAAAAGTGACATTTATATCATATTTAATTGACCCAGAAAAAATTCTCATATGATATTAGGACATCCAAAAATTAGATAAGGTGACTATACATGTTCTGAATATATGATAAAGATCAGACTTAAAAGCATGGCCATATCCTAGAGGAAGATACCAGTGTATGTTATCTAGATTTAGAATGTAAATGCATTTACAGTCTTATTTAGGTTTTTTTATTTGAATTAGAATATTTAAGTATATTTTATACTTGTGATAATGCAGGTATCTACTTACAAAATACATTTAAATATTAATTAAATATTTTATTTTAGGCCATATACACACTGTATTCTCCAGAAGAAAAACTTCTTTGTAATGAGGTAGACCGCTCTCAGAGTTAATCTTTTGGTATAATGAGATCAATGTTTTCCATAATGTAAGATAGAATGGCATAACCTTCTTAGCTATATTTTATTTCAGTTAGAATTCAGTACTTTCATGTCTCCTAGAAGCTAAACTGTGATAAAGTTATGCTGTAACACTTCTTGTATTTTTTATATCATCATATATTGTTTGTCACATATTATTGTATACTTTTTTAAAAAATATTTTTTAGTTGTAGTTGGACACAATATCTTTGTTTTATTCATTCATTTTTATGTGGTGCTGAGGATCAAACCCAGAGTATCATACCAGCTAGGAGAATGCTCTACCGCTGAGCCACAATCCCAGCCCTTATTTTTATACTTATTTTTATCATACTCTTTACTATTGGCTTTTTCATTCTTTGGATTAATAGTCCTAGTTTTGGAAAGCATATGTTTTCAGTTATCCTACATATACACAATTTACCAAGCAAAAAAATAAACAAAATTCCCTCTACCATTACTTTACCATTTTCTCTGACACCCCCCAGTTTCTCCTACTGTGTTCCAGCAGGGGAAATATTACGGTCAGTTTGCTTCTTCATCTGTTAAAGCATTTTAGACATGTATTCTCTTTCCTAGCTTTCTTTTAATTATTTATTTATTCTTTATTTTTATATATTTTTATTTTTTTGCAGTGCTAAGGAGAGAACCTAGGGCCTTGTGCATGCTAGGCAAGCAGCTCCACTGAGCTACATCCCTGCCCGCTTTTCCCAACTTTAGATGGTCACTCTGCCATCTCGAGTTGTTTTTGTTGATAAAGAAGTAACATTTAAGCCAGCCTCTCAGTAGGAGTTAGCCAAGTGGAGCGAAGGGGAGAAGCACAGCAAAAGAGGGTATCCCTAAGTAAGAAGGCATGTTGCATTTTTAAGGCAGTGAGGGGTTAGAGACTCTACAGGAGGTCATGTAAATTGGAAGAATCTCAAAGGCCTCCATAACCATGTAAGTCTTTATTCTCATTGCAATGGAAAGTCACTGAAAGGTTTTAAACAGAAAACTAGATATACTAGATTGCTGATATTAAAATATCACTCTGGTTGCAATGTGGATAATGGACTGGGGAGACAAAGTTGCAGTAAAAAAGCAAGTTGGGAAGCTAATGAGTTTTCACAAACAAGATGTGACAGTAGTGTGGAGCAGGATTATAGACAGATTAGAGTAACGAATGCAGACTAGGATCAATGTGATATGGTGAGAGGCTTGATAGGTTGTGGGGCGTGGATAAGGAAGAGAAAGGTGTTAACTTGAGACTCTGGATTTCTTGGCCTTTAGCACTTGGAGAACCAGAGGCTTGATTTACTAAAATGCTCAACACTGACAAAGGGGCTCAATAGGAGTGGGATAGGAGATCAAGAGCCTGGTTTGGATGTGTCAAAATTATGTCCCTGTGTGATACTCAAGTATCAAGTGGACAGTTGGTGACATAATCTTGAAGTTCATAAATGACATCAGGCAGGGACAGATATAACTTGTGTACCATTGATAAAATCACAAGTAGCATTTGAAGGAACAGGGATGGATGAGATGACCCAAGGGGCAGGTACTCCTTCACCAACATTGAGAGGCTGTTCTGTGCTCTGACAGCCACAACCACAGAATGTCAGGGGAGACTTCTCTAGCTTTATGGTTTTGTGCTACAGAAGGCTCTTTCTGTAAAAAAAAAAAAAAAAAAAAAAATGTCCTTTTACCACTCCCCTACACTCTGTTTCACAACCAAAAGAGTTAAAAAGGTCAGTGTCAATACAAATTTCTAAAAAGTTTTCAGGGAGAAAATATAATTTGCATTAGAAATGAAAAACAAACAACATGAAAAGCTAAAGAGAAAGTTTACTAAAATAATTCTTAAACCATCTCTTTTCTAGTCTTATTTTATTTTTTTTCCTTAAACAGGTCCTATCACCCAAGTTTTCCTCAGTGTACATATGAGATTTGTTTTGTCATTCTGTAAATATGTGCTTCATTCAGTGTGTGCATGTATGTTTCTCTGTGTTTTTGTGCCTGTATTTGTATAACATATATGCATTATATAGCACACAGCACATGCACATAGACCTATTTAAATATGTATTTTTTATACATACACAGAGGGTTTTCTTTGAATGTATGCTTACTTATGGTCAATGAGATGCAGGCCTCTAGAGGACAGATATCATTTAGAGAAACTGCACAATACAGTAATACATTGAATAGCTACATTATAAGTACTGTAGTCTGCCCAGGGTAGCAGAAGCTATATGAATTTATTGAAAAGATCCCCTACATTTATTATTTTTGTGCACTCATTTCAAGTTTTGAAGTCAATCTTGGCTTCAACTCTACCATTGTATATTTTGTTCTGTTCCAGAATTAGATCTCTCAATCAAGTTAATTACCTGTTATTTTATTATTATTCCAGCTAAAGATTTTTTGGTATAAATGGTATTCACCTTTTGATGTGATAAACTGACTACTCAATAAAGACCTATATTTTATACCACCATTATCTCTTCAAAGATTTCTGCTGACTTAAAACAGACAAAGCACAATAGCTTGTGGATGTGTTAGGAATTTACTGCCATAATTCTAGACATTGTAAAACTTGGTCTACGATAAAGGGATTGTTCCAACAATGTTACTTATTATAGTTTTTAAGTGGCAGCATGGGGCAAGAAAATTTAACATGATAAAAATTTCACTCTTAGCAGACAAAACAGGCTACTTGGGCGGTTTCTACTGTTGAGTTTCAACCCAAAGAAGAAAAGGGAATTGCTGCAGACAGTTGATAAATGATTTTCCTTCCCTGTCCCAAATAACAAATACACTCTGAACTGCTTTCTAGCATAGCTATATGTAATTTTTGCTTCAAGGGAGTTTGAATTAATTGGTCTAGTTAATGATGCAACCTATGAAAGGCCAATTTAGAATCAAACAAAATCACAGAACTCTAAGTAGCAATTGCTATAAGTCTCTCATAATATCCCACATAATAGAAAGGCTTTGTCTTTAGTTGTTAAGTTTATATTAGATTTTTTTGTTTTTTTTTCCCAGCAACAATTACCCCCCTTCCATGCTGATCCAGTCCAATGAGCTGATGGAAACATGACCCATTTGGAGATATTAGCACAGAAAGTCACAAAAGTGGATGCAGAGAAAAATTACTAAGCTCATGCAGTGTGTTAGCTATAATACAGAATGATTTTGATAAGAAAATATTGCTGACACGTTCTTGTTTAGAAAGCACACAAGGACCTCAGACCACAGGACAGGGGATATTAGATTACTGCACATTTGCATAACACAAGCCAAGCTGAAAGCACATAACAGAAGAAGCACAGGAGAAAGAATTCTGTTTTGCAAGAAAAAATTTCAAGAGCAGAAGAATAGCACAAAGGAAATACCTTAAGATCTCGCCTTTCCAGATGCAAAAGTTCAGCCCCTCTGATGTCATGACGGATGAAGATTTCTTTGTACTCTCCCAAATTGAGCAGATCCAGCCAAGCAGCAACTTCCTCAGTGCCCCATTTCTGAACTACCAAAGTTAAGAGCAAAACCCCCTTAATTTCTACATGCTCAATGCATTACAAAGCAAAGGTTGGCCAAAGGAGATGCAAAACAGAGTGCAGCAGCAGTGCTAGCAAAGAAAAGGTCAAAGGTGTTGTTCAACAGAACTATAGTTCCATTTTTTTCCCATGCAGGTTACAGACTATCAATCAGCACAAGGGTCTGACTATACAGACACTGGCTATCGTGCAGCACCATGCCTTCAGCTTTTGTTCAATTTCCTCATTAAAACTAACCACGCCACACAACATACAGAAAATTTTATTTCGAATCGTTAGGATTAGTGGTGCAAGTCTGAATAAGGCCTGATAATTTCCTTAAGACAGTGGATGAAAACAGTTTTAGTTAGAAATGAGCTACAAATGCTAATTAGAATTTAAAATCTGTTATGGGGTACTCAATTTTACACTTTCATGTTTAAGGTCTTGCTGACTTTAAGTGTAGCCTTTATTGATTCTACTGCTATTGATAATTATGGCAATAAATGTGCTGTTAAATCAACTTCACGTCATTTAAAAACTGTCAGTACTATTCTCTAAGATTAGTTGATCATGTTATTTTTCAGTATGTATAATCATTCTTATACATTTTATTCAACATGGATTAGCTTAATAAAAGCCTACTTATTTGCTGTATTTTGTTTTTAAATGCCCTTCCATAGCTGCTCTATGAATATCATAAGTAGGATTTTATATCATTATTTAAAAATGAGATAGCTAACTCAGAAAAATTTATAAAATTCTTATAAGCTAAGGACTTATGAAAAAGATTTGCTCTCATGTGTACAGAACTTGAAGGTGCTTCAGATTAGAATAGCAGTAAGTTTCATCTTTAGAGAAGATGGAGAAGAAGCTAGAAAAACAGCAGCAGAGAGAGGTTTAATTTTGCTTGAGAATGCAGATAGCACAGCTGATGGTCATTATCAACAGGTTAACATGATGTCCTTAAAACAGGAGAAAAGAAGATATAACTTTAGGTGGAAAAATACATTTAGCAACTTTATTTAGGAGTCAATGAAAGTTTCTGTGTTTCATTTATCACAGTGATCTCAATTTTGGACTCTGAAGAAGAAAAACAAGTTACACACTGATAACTTGAGTTGCTGTTGAGAAAGATAAAGTCCCATCTGGACAGACACAATGATATCCACCAAACAGAGAAGCAAGCTAGCAGCCATTCATTTCCTTCTAAGCTTCATAACTACTTAGACATATTCTAGGTATGATGTGATTTTTATGGTAAAATTCACTATATCAACAATTTTAAAGTATACATTTCAATGATGTTTAGTACATTCATGACGGCAATGCTCATCACTATCTGGCTCTCAACATTTTCAACACTTCAATGACATTAATGTGTTATTTTTTTTCCCATCATGTGGACTACCTACCAGGCTGAGTACTTGTCTTCTGCTTTTGAACTTTTTCCTTTTTAAACTTTGGCACTATACGAAATACTGTGCTTCTGTTGTTCCTTTTGGTGCAATCCATTGGAGGCTCCTGTTCAAATAGAGCAAAAAGGAATTGCTGTAGGATATTAAGAGAAGAAAAGTCCACTTTCAACAGAGAGAATATAGGAATAGGTTATCAATACTACATGTTGTAGAACAGTAGTGATTTCTTCCAAAAAGCTCCTGGCATAATGTATTTGTGAAAATCTACCAATTCCCATATAATACCTGTGTTCACAAAAATACCTTTTCTTCCTTACTTAAGAACAGTACATTTGAGAATAGTGTTGGAAATCTATTTTCCCCTATATATCTTTTTCAAAGATAAGCTCAGATTCTATTGTCATATGGTCTATAATCATAAAGAAACAGACTGAATTTTACATACCTCCTCTTCATTGGGGTGTAAGATGTAATAAAGCCAGGGGATCTCTGTTAATTTCTGTAACTCCACCTCCACAGAATGTAAGGCACTAGCCACCCGTTCTTCATGTGGAGATTCCAACTGCTATTTACCAGCAGATTAAAAAGCAAAACAAAACAATACTCAGCAACCGACTTAAAAAGAACAACTAATTTATTTTGAAAGTGAACATCCTTATTTATTATGCTAATTTTTAAATGAGAGAATTTTTTAAAAAGAACAATTCTTTATATTTTCATTTAAAAATATCTGGATAGATTTATGCTAATTCTTAATTCCCAGAGATGATATATGTAGCTAACCTGACTTTAATAATATCACAGAGAAAGTACTGCTTTTAGTGTTTCTAAGTAAACCTTTCCCTCCCTCTGTTCCTCCTTCCTCCATTCCAAGCATCTATTTACCCATTCTTAATGCTTATACTAGTGATCTGTTTCATTATTCTACTGATTTGTGCCACAAATCTGATTAACATAGATCGTCCTATGAATAAATAATATTTTTAACTTGTCATAAACTTATCATAAAAAGAAATGGTATAAAAAATCTGCTCAAAAACTAAAAGAGTGAGTTTAAGAGAAGAAAATAAATCTAAGAAAAATGTGTGATGAAAAGCTGTTGTAAAAATCAGGGCAAAACCAAAAAGCTAAGTGGTTAATAGTCTAGAATAGGGTTTGGATACATTTAGAGACTTTAACTGGTCACCTGTTATTCACCTTTAACCCATTCATAGCATTTAGTGAAATGCATGTATGTAAATGACTAAAGATGAAGTAAACACTGTTATGCACAAAACAGGAGGGCAGATGATTGGGTTCTAGACCTGGCCTTGTGACTAATGAACTGTGCAAACAAGGGAGGGGTAATTGCTTTCAGGAGCCCTAGTTTTCTCTTTCAGAAATAGAACAAAGGGACATTATTTCTGAAGTCTCTTCTAGCTAACCAGTACTTTCATAAATTACTTTAAAACTTAGAGAACCTATATACATACTCATATACTTTTAGAATTGAAAGTTCAGAGAGAATATTGCTATTATTTATTGTGAATATTATTTTTTTTTTGCTGTTTTCCCCCTAGGTTTTTAAAGATATCTACCTTTTCTAGTCATTCATAAAAATATGGAGATTCTCTACCCTAATGTTGCACTTTCATTTTAGTTTAAGGATATGTTTTATAAAATTGATTAAATGGCTAGTAATATTCTTTCTAAAAGTAAAATAAAGGATAAACCTTAGTTATTTAAAATATGATCGAATATTTATTATCATTTCACTATTGTTAAGAGTGTTGGCAAAATTAACTACAACACATTTTAAATCAAACATTTATATTTGACAATGACAGAAAATGAAATGTGTGTGTGTGCATGCGTGTGTGTGTGTGTGGGGGGGGCAGGTGTTTCTATTTTCATATAATACAATTGATAGATAATTACAAAGTAGCACAAAGAGGGTACTTTTGGTGTTGAGGACAAAGTCATGCTTCTAGTTCTTGTCAGAAATTATCTTAAATGTAATTCAAGTAACAGAAAAAACACATATCCTCAAAATAAAAATTGGAACCCAAGTCACAATTCACGGGATTTCCTATAGGACTCATTTTAGAAAAGGAGAAGATTCTGTTTAACAGTAGGAGTGCCCAAAACAGCCAAGTAGATATTTCCATTGATTTTATCAAGAGGTAACTGAAGTTTCTCCCTAAGTTTTTCTGGAAGGCCACAGTAGAGACAGCTACCTTTTGTCCCATAGAAGCTGTATTTCTGTATCCCAAGGAGGATATAGAAAGGGCATTGGCCTTCATCCTGCCTTTAAGCTCTCAGAGCAAAGGATGCTCCAAGAGTGGCACTTTTTTTTTTGGCCTACAATTAAACAGAAATTTCAAGCATGATTACTTAGGCTGGCTATGGGAAGGAATTCCCATTCATACACCACCTAGCACAAATATTATGACTTTAATGATTTCTATGACTTTATTTATGTGTATATTTACCCAAGCAGAGATGAAATTACTATCAAACAAAATGTTCTGAGATCACCACTTATCAATTAGAATAGTTATGAGGAAGGAAAAGACAGCTAATGCTCTAGGCATGCCACACAGGGACCACAGCATACGTGAAAATGCCTCAAGTGAACTCTAGGTGGCGACAAGATCCAACATCCTAGAACATTTGACAATGGTGAGGTATTTTTAAACAAAGACGGACTCTGGATTAGCATTTATGCTTTAGGTCAGTGGACTGTGTCAGATTTAGACTTACCTAAACTTGACTTACAGGATCAAACTGAGTTAAACTAGGGATATTTCCTGAAATTTAGTTCTTGAAATGCTGCATCTACACAGTGACCTCTTTAAGTAAATCTGAAGAACCATGTCAATAATTTTTCAAATGTTAATTTGGGACATTAAACCTATGATTCCCTCTACTTTTATGCATAAATGAGTGCTGAGGAATGACTACTACATTTTATTAAGCCTGAGTCTTTCAAAGCTGACTGGGAGAGTGGGATGCTATATACACACATAATGACATCTATGAGGGGAATGTCTACTTCTGTTAGCCTGAATCATAACTTCCAAATTTAGCCCTATATTTTCTGGAAGGCAAAAGCCGGCAAAAAGGAAGGTCCGAGAATGAAGGCCGGAGGGCTGCTCTTGCCTTAGGATCTACTGAATGCACATTCCCTAGTAAAGGTAAGGCCCAAATAATTATTTCATCATTGTGATATTATCAATCACTTCTTTTTCTTACCAAAGGAACCCTCCCAACCAGCAAAGATTCTGTTTCATTATACAACGCCTTCACATTGATGGCTATTTCAGTGGCAGTATCTCTTGTAAGATTCTAGAAAAGAAGAATATCAAAGACACATAATTCTGTATTAAACTAGGATTCCACTGTAAGTAAATACTTTAAATTACATTCATTCATGATTTAAATTCGCATCACAGTTTTTAGAAAAATCTATCAAAATTCTGTTATAGGCACAAATCTCCAATAAAAAGTTAAAATCCATCAAAATATATGGAAACAAACCTTACATGATGCCATTCACTGTTGGGAGAAATGTAAACAGCATAAAATTAACCTTAGTAATACTGTCCTACTATAATAATTTCATAGCCACTTCCTATTGCAATTGCAGGAGGCTCAAGTGTTGATAATATCCACTTAAAATGTCATGTGACACTAATGACCTCCACCTGAGCAGATGTCTCTCCAGCAAATCATCACTCATGTGATCTCTCATGGTTTGCATATTTCTAACTGTACACAATACATATAACATACAAAATATGGGTGAATTGGCTTTTGATGTAAGTCAACAGCAGGCTATTAAGAGGTAAGCTTTTAGGGAGTCAAAAATTAAACACAGAATTTTGACTGTGTATGGGAGTTGGTACCCTTAAGCCCTTTGTTGTTCAGGGTCAACTCTAGTTAGGTCTATTTATTGACTTTCACTTTCAATCAAATTACTTTTTGGACTGTAATCTTGAGAACTAGCATTTACTTAAATGCTAATTTAAGTAACTTCAATTTACTTACAAGAATAACACTATCAGTTTTCTCTATACTATACCATTGTACTATGTTTTATAATTCAAGAGAGTTATGTTCTATCTCTTCTATTATTTAACTTCTGCATTAAAAATTTTACATAAGTATCAACTTCAAATTCAGCAAAACAAAATGAAGTAGGAGTAATTTCAGTGCACAATTTCAAAAGTGAGCAAACATCTCTAACAGAATGTACACTGATTTTTAAGTCTGGCCTTGATTAAGGTGCAGGAGAGACGGTATGAAAGGACTAAGGAAAGATGATAGCAGTTAAAAGGAGAAACACTTGAAGGAAGGTGGAAAATGACTGAAAGTGAAATAGAAAAAAATGGGGAGAACTGAAGGATAGGAGTGAAAAACATGGGAGAAAAAGGAAAATAAAAAAATTTGGTGACAAATTTCCCAAAAGCTTCTGGGAGAAACTCATACGGACTACATCATTTTCTTTCACAGGATGTGGCATATTTTACAGCATTAAGATCATATGTGTAATACCAAAAGAATCCATGGAATGAGAATTTACCATGAGATCCTCACCTCCGGGCACCTTGGGTTGGCTTTATTCAGTGCATGTGAGCATGCATTCACCGCATGGGCCAGTTCTTGTTCCAGAAGACAGTGAATTGTGGCTGCATCACAAATCCTAAAAATGAAAACAAAACCAGTGAGCAAAAAACTTTGGGGGCATTGCTGATTTTTTCCCCTGGAGTATAGAAGTAGTTGGGAAAAAATAACCTATAAAGATCAGCAAGGAAAAAAAAAGTTTTAAATGGCTGCTTAATTATGGAGGGCACAGGATATATTTATAAAATGTAGACCTCATTGCAACAAAAAATTAAAAACTGTTTATGTAAAATGTTAGGTTCATAATCAGAAATAAGCATTTTGAAGTGCTACGAACAAAATGGAGTGATACTTCATTTGGCAGTATCATTGGAAAGAGAGGAATCACAAATATAGAATAGAAACTTTTACTTATTGAAACTTCAAATTCAACATATATATTATCTGTATACAAATTAGGGGAACATATATATCATCTGTATACTAAGTGCTTTACAAGCATTATCTAATTTAATGTTCACAACTTTAAGGGGTAGCTATGATTAGTTATCTCCACTTAATAGATGAAGATGTAGAGGCTCAGAGAGACTGAGTGTATGTATAGAACTAATAAGTGATAGAGCCAGGATCTATTTCCATTCAACTCCAAAACCTGTTGTGCCACACTCCTCAAGTAGTCAAACCTCTAAGAATGGTTTCTGGAAAGCAAAAATCCTAGAAGGCCCCAAGGCAAAGAAAAGGAAGGAGGAAAAGTTTATCAGAAAATAATGCAAAGTTTGCAGATGAGCAAGAAGGCAAGAGTAGACAAATACTTTTTGCCTCTGACATCTTCAAGGAGAAAGATCTTTAATCTAGAAAGAAAAGAAAAATATCAGAAGTCCTACACACTTGAATCAGGAGTAAGAGAAGAATTTAATTCTTAAGGATCATGCAATTGGTATACAAATTATAAAGGAACCTAAAAATGAACCTGAGCATTATAGCATCAATAATGTTGAGCAACCATGGAAAATAGATAATTTATCAAAAGAACAGAGATGGGTAAATGTTTTCCTCATTTTCAAAGAATGGGAAAGAATTAATGTTCAGATGACCATTTTTACTTGGCAAATGAAATCACCTCCTCAATATTTGTGATATAATTTAAAATCTTTAGTCCAACTTGGAACCTGTCATGTCCTCTAATTATATCATATTATAGATATCATATGATACCCAAAAAGTAGAGCTGGACATGATGTGCTTTACCTTTCAGGTATTATATAATCTTCACAGTAAAGTAGCTCCATTTATATCCATGTGGTAGAGAAGACTGAGGTGAAGAGAAGTCAAGAAGTCTTTATTCTCTGAAGCTCACTTCTGGTTCTAGTGATTTTTCATGTATTTTATACTCAGAATCTATTTCTTATCTCTTCCTTTCTGTCTACCAAAATTAATTTATGTGTGGTTTCTAAATTCTGTTGCACACTTGTTAGAAACTGGTTCTAGGACTCTTTTTTTTTTTTTAATAATCTGACTCTCTTTGGGAATAGGGTTAATGTTTGGGCTTCTTTCTACATTCCATGAACATTTAGTTAATAATTATAAGGCAATAGGCAAGTGAATAATAGAATGTGAAGACCATATGTAAAAGAGGAAATGATAATGGAGAGAGTATTATGTGGCAGGGTAAATTAATCATGTTTCTAGAAGTATAAGATCTGGTCTGAGGACTTGATAAAGGAGAACGGCAATTGTAGAGGCAAACATGAGGCAGTAAATGCACCCCTTTTTGATTCTACAAGCAACTAAAAGTACAAATTAAAAAACAAAACTTGCTAAGACTAGAGATTCTCGTGGTCTGGAAAGCCAGCAGAACCTCCTACCTAGTAATAAGCTCTTCTGCAGCCTGGGAGCACAGCTGCATCTGTGACACCTCTTCTGTTGCCAGGTCAACGGCATGCTGGATGAACAAATGGGTTCGAAGAACTGTTTTACCAGTGTCGCACTTCTGTTTATCTTCCCAAGATTTTAGAGTGCTTTCAAAGGCCTGTTTAAAAGTAGTATTGCAGTAAATGTTTTGTGTAACAGCCATGAGACTCAGATAAATGTGTATTTAGACATTATATGAAAATCTTTGAAACTATGCTTTCTTTTTCTGTAACACCTCACTCAATAAACCACAAACATAAAACAAGACAAAAAAGAGTAATGTGATCGATAAGGATAAATATATCACTGAAAATAAAAAGACTTTAAATTTCAATGTTTATTTCTTCAATTTATGCTTCAATCTTTACCATTTTATTTTACTTTGATATTTTATCTTAACTATTTTACTAGATAGCATGAATATTGTCAGTTTTATTTGTTAAGGTTTGACCTTAATTAAAAATATATACTACAGGGAAGACAAAACTAATGGAGACAGTAAAAAGATCAGTGGTTTCCAGGAATAAGGGAGGACAGATGCATAGGTGAACCCTAAGGGGTTTTAGGCCATAAAACTATCTGCATGACACTATAATGGTGGATACAAGTCAAAACTCCTCGGTACACAACACAGAGTAATGTGAACTAGGATTTTAGTTAATAACGTATTAATATTGGCTTATCAGTTGCAACAAAAGTACCATGCTAATGCAAAATATTAATAATAGGGGAATATGTGTGTAATGGGAGGAAGGATGTATGTGAATAATGAATACAATTAGAGTCCTCTGTGTACTTTTGCTCAATATAAGCCTAAAGCTTTTAAAAAACATATTTAATTTAAAACAAAACTGAATATTTGTTCATATTTAAAATCACAATGATTTAAATGTCAGATTTAAGAGAATTTAAATCTTTCCCATTTCCTATTTTTCATGACAATTTAGAATTTAAAAAAAACAATTTGATAAAATTCCAGAATAATTTTTTTGTTGTTGTTGTTACATACTCTGTCCCTTGTTAGCATCTGAGCTCTGTTTTTGTGCACAATTTTGATAATCCCTGGAGGCTGGACCCATGCTTCACCATCCACCTGCACTGGGACTCCCTCATCACCAAATATGGTGATTTTTACTGTGCGGCACTGAAATAAAACACATTATTTTAGAGTATAAGTCATCCTGAGAAATTGACCATCAATCTCTGCATGTGTTCAGGCTTGATATTTAGGCCATTCTGTGGGAATGAAATTCTATGCTAAACCACTTATGATGACACAGTAAGAACTGACCTGACAGCAAAGTCAATATCATATAGAAGCATATTCAAGACAGCTGTCATTTGGAATAGCAGCCCCCAGCCCTCCATGGCCCAAGAAGCATAGTCAGAGAAACAAACCTGGGCTATTCGATGATGCTGCAGCTTAATGACCCTTGAAACTGCCATTTGCATGCTATCAAATATTGCAACAACTTCCAAGATCTTATCATCAAATGATGGTGCAGTAAATATCTGAAAGGAAAAACTATGTTTCATTTTCACTGAACATTTTGGTAAAGTGGTACATCAAATAATGTAAACCCTGCTATCTGTCTATATTTAGAAACATAAAAATAGTGAGCAAAAAGCAAATAAACATTAGAAAATGATAATCCAAGAGAAAAAAATCACTGAAGATGGCTTAAAATAAATGTAACTTTAAAAAAGGATTTTGCATAGGGATAGAAGACTCATTTACATAAAGCACTGTTTGGACTAATGCATTTTTAAATGATTCATCTTGGTATAAATGCAGCAAACATCTGCCATATATAATTCAGATGTTTTGCTAAGCTAATGTCTATAATTTTTAGAAATCTAAGAAACCCAAAAGGTGAAACAGTTTCATCAGGTTAAAGCTAATGAACATGCAAATTATGATACAGTTCACTTGGTTATTCTAAGGGAGATCTTTCAAGGTATTATAAGTAGCATGCACGTGTGTCTTATATCTTAATACAACAACTTTTTAGGGCATTGAACTATGGAAACAGAAACCTCAGGTGGTAAAATTCACGTAAACTTTCTTTTTCTTTATGTTAGATGCCTTTTTCACAAAAATTAATTACTTAAAAATTTAAATTTAGACTGACATTCCCTCATTTGCCCCCTCTTTTTCTTTGTCATAAATAATTATTATTCTAAAAAAAAACAACATAAAGTAGTATCCAAATTGAAAACTTTCATTGAAAATATCAGGAAACAAATGTTCTAACTGATGATTAATTACTTGGCAAAAGTAATTTTGGTGATGTAATTAAATTGTGGACCTTGAAATGGGAAAATTATCCTGATGCTCTGGATAGACCCAAAGTAATCACAAGGCTCACTAAAAAGTGGAAGAGGAAGGCAGAAAAGGTGACTAGAGTGAAGCAATGAAAATCCAACCTGTGGGAGGAACAAGAGCAGCCTCTAAAAGCTGAAAGGACAGGAAACAGATTCTCTCTTACTGCTTCCAAAGTCACACAGCCCTCTGACATCTTGATTTTATTAGCCCAGGGAGGCTTTGTCAGACTTATACCATATAGAAATGTAAGATGGTAAACCTGTGTTTTTACTAAATTGGTGTTAATTTGTTATAGCAGCAGTAGAAAACTAATACCGGTATAAGATTAAGAAGCAAGATCTTCCCTTCTTTATATCCTAAATTTACTTTCCTCAAGTAGATGACTTTGCATTTACCCCCCAAATTGTAACCTACAACCCAGAATAAGGAATTTTAGAGTAAACCCATGAAAAATTATTTAAATAAAACCTTGAACAAATCTATTCTACCCCCATACCTTCCCCGTATAAAACAGTCTGACATTAAATTAATATTAAAAGTACATCTTTAAAAGATATCACATGAATTGAATCATTGTTGAGGTAACAGACTCTATTTCTATTTTGCTACTTACATCATCCTCTTTGGTTCCACCCCAGAAGTTAGTGCCTCCTGCATAGCTAGGGATGTTTAACACTGCTATGCCTTGCAAACTGGGGAGAGGAATATACTGCCCATCGCACTGCAAAGTACAAAGCCTAGAGGTTAGACTTCAAGAGCAACACCACTAGTTTGGAGGATAGTAAAACACCAAAGTCAAAGAGTGAGGGAGCAAAATGTATTGGTTATGTTTGTTCTCTTGTAAGTACATTCCTGCACATTACAAAGGCATTTATCTTATTTCTTCTTAATTGAAAAAAATTGAAAGCAAAAATAAAAGCTGCTACAGAAAACTGCATTTAGAAAGAAATGCTTTCCCTCTCCTTTCCCCTCAAATCAGGCAGTAACTTTCTTGAATCCTTTTGGGCCACTTGAGAGATTCTCACTTGCTTTATGAGTTTAGGCATCCTTTTGAAAGCCGCTCTTTAAGGGCAGGTTCTGGTCCAGCCCACATTGGTTACACTTCTCTAAAAGGAACTGGTTACTGGCTAAACTCTAAAGCTGAGTTTTTCAAGGAGTCAGAATCAAAGCCAAACAAAAAACATGCTTGTTGGAAAGCACCTGACACTCCTTGCCTTCTCATTACTCACTCAAATGAAAAGTACCACTTAAATGAAAACAACAATGACAAAAGTAATAACATTGGTGAAGTAATTATATATGTGAATAAGTTTTACTGAGTAGAAATAGAATTGTTACCTTTTCACAAATGCTATTTATTAAATTAATGTTGTTTGCTTTACTCTATTAAGTCTTAGAGCCCAGCTATTAAGAAGTAGATAATCAGTAAAGGGACTGAATGTTTTCGCCACAAAGAAATGATACATGATTGAGAAGATCCATGTGCTTACCCTGATTTGAACATTATGCAATATGTACATGTACCAAACTATAATATGGTACCCCATTACATGTATAATTTTTATACATAAAGTAAAAATATTTTAAATTACTCAAGAAAAATTATGTTACATAAATTTTATGATCACAATAATTTAATCAGTATTTGGGCTGGGTTATAGCTCAGTGGTAGAGCACCTATCTAGCACATGTGAGGCACTGGGTTTGATGCTCGGTACCAAAAATAAATAAATAAAAGTATTGTGTCCATTTACAACTAAAAAAAATTAATAGTATTTAAACAGAACCACCTAATGAAACTAAATGAACATTTAATTTAATGGAAAGATTTAAACCTTTTTTTTTTTTTAAATCTTTTAAGACTTCAAAATGGTTGGGCTGGAGATGTGGCTCAAGTGGTAGCATGTTCCCCTGGCATGCGCGGGGCGCTGGGTTCGATCCTCAGCACCACATAAAAGTAAAATAAAGATGTTGTGTCCAATCTCTCTTAAAAAAAAAATGG